AGACGATTTTACATATTTACTGGCCTCACACAAATAATGCCAATATCAATTGAATTTTATAAGACTTCATGAAACCTGTTAGGAGTGTTGTTCTGATTTTTTCAATGGGCGGCAGTAACCAACCAACAGTTTAAGCTGCCTTAGCCATGTTATTTGATTTCCTGTAGAAGCAAGCACATTTTGGTCCCGCTTTCTAATAATGGGTTGTATCTTTTTCCTTGCTCAAGAGTGTGCTCCTATTAGTATTTACACAATACAGGTTTTGCATATATAGTGGTTCTGTAGATGTTTATAATCATTTTGTTTATGTGTTATATTCCCTCCCAAGGCCCTTATTTTGTGAATAAAATAACATAAATAGTACTAATTAAAAATCACCAGATGCGCATTTCGGCAATTAATGTCTCTTCAGAGATGCTCCTAGGCCACAATTTTGAATATCCAAAATTTAATACAAATGTGCAAACTAAAAACGAAAAAAATCCATTTCATTCTATTATATTATGAGTTTTAGTTTTACGACATACTTTACCGTATGTCGTAAACTTAAACACACAATAAACCTTCAAAAGAAAAAGGGATGTTTTTGCGCACGTACCACTGATTTAATTAATCCCACCACATTGCATGCCTGCACCGAACCAAACGACCTGGATCATGTGTTATTCGTTGATGTTTGTCTTTGTTTGTACCTCATGTTTTTTTTCTGATTGAGTCGTATTCTGGTAGATGGTGGGGTCTGTTGTGCTTTCAAGTCTGATTGGCAATTCCCGTTATAAGTTTTTTTATTCGAGTGTCTCTAATGAGTCTTTTGTAGATGAAAAGCGCAAGATTAAACGATGTCTTATTTGATGCAAACCGAGATTACTATAGGATTGAACGCCTTTCTAAAGAAATTTATTGGTGTATAAACTGGACTAATTCACTCACAAACAAATAAAATTCCGACGGGTTCTTATAACAATTTTTTGATAAGTGCCAATCTAAAAAAGATTAATAGGGAAAAACAATTGTGTTATCACTCCTCCAACAGTTACAGACTTTGCATAGAGATTTTTTCAACCCGAAATAGGTTAATAGATGTATTGATATGCATTTGCATATAAGGTCCGAAGAAATTTTATGATATGTTTGTTAGTAACATGGTCTAGTTTATACCCCAATAAATTCGTTTAAAAAGGCGTTTAATCCTAACAATTCTTTAGTTTCCCCATCCGTAACCTCTAACACGCGTAAATTGTATATTTGTGTCATTTAACTGGCCTAGCGCATACATATATTTTTTTTGTTAACGCAATTAATGTATTCTATGAAATTTGCTTTCTGATAAAAAAAAATAAAAAATATCTTATTATTATTCAAATGGATGTTTTGTGTTTATTATGTAATGTAACGACAAACGCGAAGTGAAAATACATATTTTTAAAGTCGAGCTGGTTTGTGTTTTCATCGCCGCCTTCTTATTCACATAGGTTACCAAAAGTAGTTCCGTCAATGACGTCTATCGAAAAATAAATAACTTTAAGAGCAACTACCGGTAGCTCTCTCGACCAATCATATAAACGTATTCCCTAATAGGCAAATTATACAAGAATTATTGCAGAATAACTGATTTCAGTACTGCACAGGTATAAATTATATTCCCAATCGTTTTATTTTATTTTTAAATAAATCTTAATTTAGCTAACGCAAACCGCGAGATGATCTTAAAATGAAGAGGGATGTTAACAGTTGAGCTACGTCGGATAGAAACAGACCTTATGCAAGTGCACGTAAACATGTACATGTATAAGACTTTGATTGATTTTGGAACATTGAAATAGGAAATAAAAGATGAATTTTTGTCTGTTTTGTAGGGTTCTTATAACAATTTTTTGAAAAGTGCCAATTTAACAAAGACTAATGGGGAAAACAATAGTGGTATCACTCCTCAAACAGTTACAGACTTTGCATAGAGATTTTTCAACCCGAAATAGGTTAATAGATGTATTGATATCCATTATTTGCATATAAGGTCAATTTCTATCCGACGCAGCTCATATAATGATTTTTTTTTTTGAAACATAATCGTATATAAGATAATGAAATTATATATCCATGCAGAGGAAGGCGCATACACGCCCACTTCACTGTACATAATCGATCCATCAAATCCAATTATAATCAGGGGAGGGCTTGTTGTATTAATATGACTGATAACGTTAAACTTTCATATATATGTTACATTAACTATTAGATAATGTACGTATGCATTCGTTTTGCATATAGATTCATATAGAATGATATATTTCATAAAAATATTTCTGTGTGCATCCGTAATTTTGATTTTTAATCATGAGGCCTTTATGGTTTTAATTTTAAATCCAATTCAAATTTCCTAAAACAATCTCATAACTCAAATTACCATCTTTGGCTCATAATATTATATTACTAATACATTTAGTCGACAATATGCTTATGTGAATTACATCTTTCGCTAAAAACAAATCATTCAGACAAATAAAACAATTATTATTATAAACATTTTATAAAATGCCTATTGCATTAATCATCGTATCATTGATCACAGCGAGATTAAGGAAGAAGATGGTGTCTTGCTTTGCAATGAGAACAATTCAAAACAAGGCAAACAACCATAAACGATACTGGACGTGAGAAAAATGCTAGACACTTCTAGCAGTCTTCGGGAAGATGAAACACGTATAATTAATTCGCTAGCTACTAGTATCAGATCTTGGGTTTATCCGAGTAAACAGTACATCAGCACATTGCATATACATTACTTCAAAGTTTAACTGAAAGGTATTATTAAGTCAATATACAATGGTCGCGGCCAAATCCAATTGTTTTCGGTTGATGATTTTGCCATTACAATAACCTTGCAGTAGCAATTTTTGTCAATTAAAATTTTCGTTTTCAAAACTATTTACTGAAATTTTGAAATTTGACATCCCGACCCGCACCTTTGTCGCTGGCAAGTGTCTGACATTGTATATTCTTAAGGATAGCTAAGTTCGATTAGTTAACTATGTAACGGTATGTTAGAAAGTGATTAAAAAGTAAATTAACAAAAATACCGAACTCCAAGGGAAATTAAAAACGGAAAGTCCTTTATAAAATGGCAAAATAAAAGGTCAAACACATTTAACGAATGGAAAACAACTGTCATATTCCTGACTTGGTACAGGGATTTCCTTATGTAGAAAATGGTGGATTAAACCTGGTTTTATAGCTAGCTAAACCTCTCACTTGTATGACAGTCGCATTAAATTCCATTATATTGGCAATAATTTGTGAGCCAAACAAACAGACATAATAGGTAAAAACGTCAAAATTTGTGGTACAGCAGTCAACATTGTAATATAATCTTAATCACTGTAAAACAAATAACTGTTTCAACAAAAAAAACACAAAATGGCATATAGACAAAGTACATAAGCAAACATGAAAGACAAGAATTCAAAATTGACCATAGCACAATAACACAATGGCGGGATGTATAAGTACCGAGCCACGTCATGGGTATTAAAAAAAATAGAATGGTTTTTCCTCCTTGTGATATGAGTATTAGCCTTAGCCTTTTTACGAATGAACCGTGTACTAAATTTTTTACTGGTTTAATGAGGGTGTGGATGGGGGTTTACAGAATAGAGAATAATGGGCAAAAAATATAAAGAATAGGGGAAAATGGACAAAAAAAAAAAGAATTGAGGATAAAGAGTTGCTAGAATACAAACAATAGAGAACAATGGACAAAAAGTATAGAGAATAGAGAAAAATGGCCTAGAAAATTAATGAATACTGAAATGGAGGACCCTAACCAGACCCTCTTTAATGTGTTCTTACTCTTATTCAAGTGATTGATTATTGATTATTCAATAATAGTAGTTTAAATATGCTACTTATAACAACTGTTATTTCGGATATATCGAGGCGGTCATTTTGTAACGACGGATGAAGCCGGAGAGACGGGAGAGATCCACCGAATATATCAGAATTTCATTCATTTAACATTACCTTTTACCCAAAAGCATAATACAGTATAACTGTAATGCTAAAAACTGTTGCCAAAGGATGTTTTGCTGAATCATAGATAAATATATGTACGTATTATGAGAGTTGACGCCAGAACCTTTTCCTTGATCTTTTCAACTTTAGAAAAATATGTAGGGCATTATCAATAATTTCAATTTGTCAAACCTTATCAAAATGTAACTAACAAAGAAAGAAAAACCTAAAATTGAGGTTTTAAACTTCAAAAATGGTTCTCCAAACCAAATATCATTTAATGTATATCAGACTAGTTAATATTGACAGAAATGTATGAAAGATAAGAATACAAAATGGTAATAAGAAGCACAACAAGCTGATGCTGTAAAGAAACGTCTGTTGTTGAAGGCATTGACAAACGGAAGTGTTAAATACATAGAAATGCAACATATTCTAACTTCAGGCAGTATTAACCTTGGTTTGCATTTAGGTCTTGCAAGAGGAATAAATTTGCAATCGCTTCCACTCTATGAAGGTTTCTATAGGCTAATCCTAGGGTTTCCGCGTAGTATTTGCAGGAGGGATGCATTTGTAGCCACTTTACTCTTTGAAGGTGTCCGTAGGTAGCCTATTGGAAACGAAAATGACCAACCCTATCCAGTATGACCTTATTTTTCAGTTAAAGACTTTTGCTGTTTGGTAGATAGTTGTGTTATTGGCAATTTCATCATCTTGATTTAATAAACATTTAAGATGAATACATATGTCTACTTTTTGGCCCTTCAATTCAATCAATTTAGACAATTTCAAGTCCGTTGGCAAATATTACAAGAATAGTCATGTTTACGAAAAACTAGTATACAACATGCTGCTTATACTAGACCAAGATGGAAATATTTTTTTACTATTTTCGCAGATTCAAATTTCATAGCATAAAAACGCAAAAGTCACATTACAGGTTTGAATATCATACGTATAAAAGCTGCTCCATTGTAGATCACGACGAATATTTCAGTCGTTATGTCTCTAACAAGCATGTTGATTTCTTGGATTGTGGTCTTTTATATGATTACCTTTGCAGGTGCGACGACCTCGTGCAGAACAGCGGACGGTATGTTGGTAAAGTCTACAAAGTAACATAATAACAAATAAAAAACCTTTTCAAAAAGGTATGGGGTGCTTCGCCGCAAAATAAAATTTACGTGAGCTTTTGATTTTGTATTTTTGTGATTTCATGGTTATTATCTAATGGCTGATATAATGATAATATTATACACATTATATATCTATACTACTAAAATAACGAGGTATAATTTGTTAGCCGGCATGACGTGAAAACAACGAAACAAAGAATTCAACTTTATATGTAACTAATATAGGACAATAGTGTTGATTAAAAAAACACCATTCCAGACCCTATTGTTGTCCACATAATTAATATTACCAATAATAAACACGTTCCTGGTCGAATCCGATACCAATACCAATAGTACCTGTTACCTGTTACCTAATATGTACATCTGTCAAGCGCACCACTAAATGGTGTGTTTAGGATTTTCTATATACACGGGTCATAATAACACCTGAACTTCGTCATTATAAGGGATTGACACTATTAAATTCAACCATTGACTAAACAAATCTACAAGTAGTTTCCGGTTGTTGTAAGAAAATCAGGACGGATTCATACATGAGAAAGATTTTGAAAGCAGAGAAAACTTTGCACCTTATAATCAGCATGACTTTATCAAATGGCACTGCGAATACTAAAAATCCAGGCTGAAAATAAGGCGTATGTACTTAAATTCAGTCACAGACCCGCGATGTCACTGGTGTGTTCTAGTAGGTTATATTAAACTAATCGTGTTTTGCAGATTTTGCAAAGGGAAAGCATTATAATAAATGTATCAATTTTGACTCTCAGCGCTTATCCAACTATATGTAATACCCGATAGCAACATATTCATCGTTACACCCCAGTTCTATTGTTATACTCCATAGTTTCTATTTCTGAAACAAGTGTAAATTGAATAGATCTATTGTTACGAATAACAATGGATTTTGACCACAGGGTGTGACGAGCGGGGTTTCTGGAAACCCCTGCTTCTACATCCAGCAAACAAAGTCCATTGTTATTCGTAACAATAGAAATTGATTATTTTTTAAATAGCATGAACATAAGAAATTACTAATAGTGTTCACTACAAATTATTTCATGATATTAAAAAAACACATTTTAGGAAATTCCAATAAGCATCTATATGGAATACAAAAATAATCCTTTAAATACTCTTTTGCTTGAAGGCATTTTTTTTTATCCTAGTCATATGTCTCCATTCTAAGCATTGGTCTTTTAAAAAATGGGGATTCTTACTCCCGGACCACCCTCCCCCCGGTTACCCAGTGGCCGATCCGGGGTTGGGGGTTCTGCGGGTTTGACCCGACTTTTATTTAAAAGATCAATGCATTTGAATGGTTGGACCCCCTTTTTTTCTCTCGAGTTTGGAACCCCCGGCTGGATCAGCCCCTGATTGCCCCCAAAAAGGGAGTTTCTCCATATTAAATATTATATGTTGAGCGTGTCTGGTAGTCGGGTTTCTAATGCAGACACACCTATCCCTTAGTATGTTCGAATATGAATGTTTGTTTATTCTCGAGAAGAGGGATGGGGCTTTTGTTTTTGATAAAATCGTAAGATATAAAATACAGTTATGATTACCTTTATTAAACTCTTCTATCAAATCCAACGCTTGCAACAAGGTGTCGTCCGTCTTATACCCGTCCATATTGACAACTGTATACCAGGAGCATGACCCTTTTTTTTGTTTTTAATAAGAATACACGAAACAGTCAACCTTGACCTGCTTATCCATATTAGCACATGGATTTAACGGGAATATGCAAAACAACTTGACATTTGTAAAATATACTCACTTGTCAAAGTTTGAACGAAGATAACCAAAGAAAGGTTACTAGTGGGGTTTCATGTAATAAAAACATATTCTTATAAATCTTGGTTTGATATTGTCAATAAATATGCTATCGTTTTTTTGTTTGTTTTTTTTTTCATTTAATAATCAATGTTTACAAATATAGGGTTCAGAATGGGGTGTAAGTTAGTTATACACCTCGGGATACGGCGTGTCTGGATAAGAAACCCCTCCGACCTCCGGCCGACGGGGTTTCTTATCCAGACGCACCTATCCCTCGGTGTATAACTATTACATTGGGTTTAGAAAAGCCATACTGTTAAGACGAAAGACGAAATTAAAACAAGATAAATGAACGGGAAAGTGCCTTCAATTTTATAGTTTATTGAAGATAATGTCGTCAATAGAAACCAGCATGTAAAAAAATATAATTGAGCGTTGTTGTTATACCGTCAAATAGGGAGGTTCAGTCAAGAATTTATCACAATAGAAACTCCACGATAATCCCATTTGTCGGTGGTCCCTCTTCCTCCGTTACTCTAATGAGTTCTTTGTTAAACGCATTTCAAGGCTGTGTGACGTCCAATCTAATTAAAATATATCTCTCTGATTTCGTTATACGCAAGTTAATAAAGGTCAGAATTTTAATCAGATTGTGTGAAGTCCAATACGTTGGTTCTGTATTGATAACTTTGACCGTCAATTATCATAACGTTAAAACTCACTTTGATAAGTTTGACTGACCCAAACTAAAAACCTTTTCCCCCGTTTGCTGATGAGAAAAAAACAAACTTTCTATAATAAAAATCACAGAGTCAAATGCAATCAAATCGATCGATCATCTGACTTTCATCATATTAATATTGTACAATGCTGCTCGACAAAATATTTCAAAGCATTTTTGAACTCGTTCGATACGATAACTCGAAACAATTTTCATATTGTGACTCGCAGCTGATATTTTGCAGTATTAATATGTAGATAATCGATACTTACTTAAGTGTCAATCTGCCTACGAATCAGGCAGTGGTGAAACATGACAAAAACCCACTCATGTTTACATTAATTGTAAGTTCAAAATGTTTAATGGTGCACGAAAATAACATTCGTTTCCTTTTTCTGTTCTAGTATTTCAAGATATAATTTGGTTGAAATGCACTATAAATTAACAAATAAGGTGAGGTAACTCCTTTTTTGCTATCATTCTAACAACAAGTTATTCAGAGATTTCTCGAATTACCAGACACACAGAAACGAAAGACCTACCATTTCTAACTAATGAGGAAGGTGACTTCAAAAAATGATGGTTAGAACGGCGGGTTTTTTTTCAGTCATGTTTTAAAATTCCTCTAAATTGCTTGTTTCTTACAAAGATTGGCACTTAAACGGACAATGTAATTTAACATTACCTATATTCATCGAGATCAATTTATGTGTATCAAACTGAACCATTATAATTAATTGATTAAATGACAGTTGCGAATGAAAAAAATACAGTACTAGTATCAGGGTTTGCTTCTGTTAGCTTACTTTAACTATTTGCATCAATTTTTATACGAAAGTCTTGAGCGGTGAACGTGATGCATGCATTAAAGACAAATACCATGTTTGCAGTTTACATTTGATCTAAATTTAAACAAATCAAACTAAAACAGTTTTGAACAATTTCAGGTCAGTATGATGTCATTGTCAATTACCGTGGTAAAACTGGTCCAGAAACTCCTAAATCGAGAGTAATTGCATTTTACGCCTTCATGTCAAAATCAATCACGAGCCCGGGCGTTGGTCGCCGACTGGTATTTGATGTAATGAAAACAAACCAAGGTGGTGGATATAACAGCCATACGGGCGTTTTTACCTGTCCAAAGACTGGAACATACGTTTTCGTGTGGGTTGTAAGACTGGGTTCTGCATATCATTCTTTTGAGTTGATGATCAATAATTCCGTGTATGGATCCACCCATCTTTATAACAATGGTACCGGAGGCAGTGTCAGTGGTACAGTTGTTGCGCATGTGTCGAAGGGCGAGAGTGTTTACGTTCGTGCGCACTCTTCCTACAAAGGTTCGGGTGTAATAAATAGTGATACAAACGGTAGAACAGCATTTTCTGGATGGTTACTGAACTAGTTTGATACTAATAAATGCATTCTCTCAAAACTGTTTTAGGCTTATTACATAGTATTATCGCCAAAATATAGTGGACTACCCTCAGCTATACAGTAAAACTGCTTTTCATTTATTTTGGCAGCTCAATACAATTAAAACGTTAAGTGTTTTATCGGACTAAAGTAAAACTTGTTTTGATTTTCTGTTAATGCAAAAATACTGCCACTTTTTTAAATTGTAAATTCATTGAAAGGTTCATTTTAATTATTCTAGACAATGCCGCATAAAAAATTAATTTCCATCTCTCATGCAAAACCAGTTGACACATTTTGTGGTTGAGGATATTTATTTCAAGCTGCTTTTGTAAAGATTATTTATTTACACTTACTGCAACCCACTTCAGATTGTTTATTTTCAAACCCAACCCACAACTTATAATGTAAATAATGCATGGTTCTATAAAAGAGACATCTCCATCGATGAATTATAATAACAATTACAACAAATATTTTAACCATAATATTCACAACAGTTTCTTATAGCCAAGAAAACAAGATTATTGATTATTGTTCAGCAAATATGCCATGCTCTTTAATCCTGAAAATGTTTCGGACACACCATATCTATTGTGTTATTTTCATGCTGGGTCGATATACGTGGCTGAAAAACGATTAGTCTCCGGAGGGAATCGTGAACTCTGTAGTTATTATCTAAAAGAAATGCAAGGTTTCAAACTTCCACATGCAAAGATGACTTTAGAGTAAATATAGATTTGAATAGGTCCCTTTTGGTTATGTAGCTCCACCAGTGTACAGGCGTTTATACATCCTTGGCTTACATATATTTAGGTTTGATAAATCTAGAAAACAGAAATTTTGCCTTGTAACAGTCGAACTACGGACACTTGCGGTGAATTGTTGCAAATCTTCAAGACACTTTTAAGTGATATTAAAAAAGGAGTTACCGTTCCTGGTGATATCGTTAACAAATCAGATCAAAATTTTTAATTTACCATATAAACAATGTTTTAGACAAATTAATACAAAACAAAACAAACTGTCAAAGCATACACGAATCAATATTAATGTCAAGAAAAGTACAAAGAACAAAACATACGCTTCAACCCTAATTTCTATGGACAATTTCAAAGATAATACATCAGTTTAATATGTATCATGGATACGGCGTATTCGTCATTTCTGTAAAAATGATTATCGTAAAAGAATACATTAGATATTAGGGATTTCTCATCATACCCTTTATTAAAATGTATGAAATAAAACAAAATCTGTAAATGACATATTCAAGTTCGTAGCTTCTTACATCTTTTAACAGCAAGGCATATACAGGCGTTATATATACATTTATTTTCTCAAAATTGTTCTGTTTTTTTAATAATCTGACGATTTCAAGTACTCACTAGCCTCTCATAAATACTGTCTATTTCAAGTAAATCTTTAACGAGACTTCTTGAAACCTGTTAAAAGTGTTGTTTTCTTATCTTTTTTATTTAGCTCTGTAACCAACAGTGGTAGCTGCCTTTGCTATGTTGATTGTCTTCCTATAGAAGCAAACATATGTTGCTCCACTTTCCAAATATAACATGCCGTATTTGCTCAAGTTAGTGGTCATTTTATTGGTAGATACACACTGTTTTCTATTGTGTTTTGCAGTTTTACGACATACTAGACCAAATGCCTAATTATAAACCGGCAAAAAAAGGGTGAGTGTATGCGCAAGTTAACGTAATTCAATTAACAGAACCACATTGTGTACATGCCTACACCTAGTTAGACTATCTGAACCATGTGTTGTTCGTTGTTGCTTTTTTGTGTACGCAAGATATTTTTAGGTTGAGTTGGTTGTAAGTTGTTGCTGTGGTCTGTTAATTGTACTTTCCTGTATGTTTGGTAAATCCCGTTTATATTCTGTTTACAGAGGATGCTTTACAGAGTTTTATGCACTTCTTTTTTGGTATTAAAACGGTTTTACAGCCGATAAAATAGGGTTACGCTTCTGCAAACTCATTGCTAGATTAAACGATGTCTTATCTATCATACAAATCAAGAATACTACAGAATAATAATTTAAATACTGAAAGATGATAATTTGTATAACTAAATTATTGAAACAATAATCATACAACGATCATGAAATTTAGTAAGCATGCGGAGGAAGGCGCATATATGCATCATCGATCCATTAAATACCCTTATTATTAGAGACTTGACGTATTAACATTACTGATAACGTTAAAACCTCATTCAGTTTCATTAACTTCTAAGTAGATTCAAATAGAATGATATTTTTGTATTTGTCATCAACATCTTCTATGTGCATTTTTAAATTTTTCAATAAAGAACCAAATATAATCGACTGTTCATTTATACTATGGACATTTTTTTATAAAGTTTTCGATTTTTAAATTCAAGTTCGTTGGAGATGAAAACCAACATACTTACTTACTTACTTAGTCCTTGCTATGCCTTATGGCACATAGGGCAAGGACAAGTTTCCTCCATTCTTCTCGGTTGTTTGCTTTTCTTTCCACTGTGCCCCAGGTATATCCTCTTTCCTTTAATTCATTTTCTATGGTGCGTCACCATGTTGTTTTAGGTCGTCCTCTTTTTCTTTTTCCCTCTGGTGTCCATCTAAGCGCTACCTTGGTCATGTCTTCAGATGGTTTGCGTAAAACATGACCAAGCCAACTCCATCTCTTTTGTATCAGCAAAGTCTCCATGTCCTTGGTGTTGGTAATCTCATATAGGTCTTTGTTGGAGATTTTGTTTGGCCAGAATATTTTCATTATCTTCCTCAGACATGTGTTATGGAAGCTGGAGAGTCTGTTGATATCTTTCTCAGTTATTCTCCAGCACTCTGAGCCATATATAAGTACAGATAATACACAGCATTTATAGAGTCTGAGCTTGGTCTTCTTTGAAAAGGCTGTTGTGTTCCAGATGTTGCCTAATCTAATGAATGCTTATCTAGCTTTTCCTATTCTGATCTTTATATCTCTTTCAGCACCACCTTCTGTTGTTATACAACTTCCTAGGTAATTAAATGAGTCTACTGTTTCCAGCTGTTTTCCTTCTACAAATATGACAGGGTGTCTCTCTGTGCTGAAGTACATTAACTTTGTCTTTTTGGCATTGATCTTAAGTCCAATTATTTTAGCATTTTCTCCTAGCTTTTTGGTCTTCTCCTGCATATGGTCTTCGGTATGCGATAAAAGTGCTAAATCATCAGCATAGTCTGTGTCCTCAAGCTTGGTTCAAAGTGTCCATCTCAGTCCGGTTTTACTTTCTGCTAGGGTCGTTCTCATCACCCAATCAAAGCCAATTATAAAAAGCACAGATGACATAACACATCTTGCTTTACTCCTGATTTTATAAGGAAACTAGTGTCAGCTACAGAATTGATGGTACATGAGAAGTTTGTATAGAACTGCTTGATGAGTTGCACTATCTTACTTGGTATTCCATAGTTTCTTAAAGTTTCCCAAAGACTTTCCCGGTGTAAGCTGTCAAAGGCTTTTTCGAAGTCCACAAAATTTACAAGTAGTTTTTTCTGCCACTCATGGCACTGTTCAAAGATGTTTCGTAGGACAACTATGTGGTCTATGCAACCTCTACCTTTTCTGAAACCAGCTTGTTCTTGTCGTAGTTTCTTATCAACAGCGTCTATAATTCTTGATATAGAAATTATGCAGAAGACCTTACTTGGAATGGATAGTAAGGTGATTCCTCTTCAGTTGTTGCAGTTAGTTATGTCTCCTAATTTTGGTATTGTTATGATCTTGCCTTCAGACCAACTGTTAGGAATAACAGCTTGTTCCCATATTTTCTGGGATACTGGGTGTAAAGTATCAGCTGCCTGCACTGGATCTATCTTAAAAAGTTCTGCATTTAGTTGGTCTATCATGTCTATGCCAGGTGCCTTTTTGTTTTTCAAGTTTTTAATGGCTTTCTGTATTTCTTGTTTTGAAGGTGGATCTGTATCTATTTCTAGGTCTATGGGTGCTTCAGGAATAATTGCTAGCTTGTCTGGATCTTTTCGGTTAAGAACCTCTTGAACATGTCCCTGCCATCTTAAGTATTGATCTCGTTCTGTTGTTAGTATATTGTTGTTTTTGTCTTTGATTGGCATACTTACCGTAGCTTTTTTACCACTTAGTTGTTTAGTTACTTGGTAAATCTGTCCCATTCTCTGATTTGAAGCTGCACTTTCTGCTTCTCTTGCTAGGTTTCCATAAAATCTCTCTTGTTCTTACGTGTTGCTGTCTTTACCTTCTTGTTGCATTCTGTATATTTTGTTCTTGAAGTCAACATGCTTGGATAAAATATGTCGTTTGTATTTGTTAATGAAATCTTTTTAGTTTAACAGTTCTGAGAGTATATTGCAATCTGGACTTTTTATTTACGAAGAGAGACTGTTCTTCTAATTCCAAATTTTCTTCACCCCAAGTATGACTAAAGTATAAAAACAATGTTAACTTTTTGTTTGCAATAAAGGAAACCCCTTGCCAAGTGGGGCGTCCTTTGGTTATACTGAATGTATGAATACGCAGCCACGTTCGATCCGAAAAAAGACATTAAATCCGATGTCTCGTGTAGAGAGAGAGTGGCACGCTTGCAACAATATTGTAGGGGTGTAGGTGTTACCCACACTTGTTTACTTATATATTTGTTCCTCTTAACAGAAGTTCCTCTGGAAACTTTGTTATAAACAATGATCTAATATGAACAAATATTATATCTACCTTTTATTACGTCAGGATCAAGTACCGTAATATTTTTTTTCCAGTGGACACAATATTCCATATTAAGAACATATATTATAAAAGAATGTCTATTCTATGACAGTATGTTGACAGGCCAAATTTCTATGTTTATCCAATATATCCTCATTGACAGTACAAATTTTCCGCTCTCAATCCCGGTCGATTCCTTGAATACAGGAGATACCTTTGGTATTAATTATTAATTTGTTTTCGTCCTTAACATGCATGAATTATTTGACTGGAAGTACAGAAAACAGCAA